ACCTAGTTGTTGTTGAACCAGTAATTTTCTTCGGGTTGAATAGCTGTCTGTCTTTCCTTGTGTTTATTCCTACGTTACCTTTTCAAAGAGTAATCATTTCCCTGCCAACTTTCACTGTGTTAATATTTTTCTTTTCTTTTTGTCTATGTTCATAGGGCTTTCCTGTTCTCCAAATAGTACTATCAGTCCTTAGGCATATGTTGAATTTGTCAATCATGTTGTCTCTGTGCTTTCCATGTTTTACCATTTCCCCTGGGAAATTTACCTAGGAAAACCTAGAATTGTCCTGGTCTCTTTCGCCCAGCAACATCACATGGATGTCTCTGACGTTCTGTAATCAGTTAGTGTGCTTGAGTCTTTGGACGTAGCTATCTCCTATGCACGAACTTCTATGTGAAGCCGAAATTCTTCAGAGTTCTTAATATGCATAGCTTTCCCAATTTCATGCTGTTGTATTTCATTCCATTTTGGTTACTGTAGTTCTTCATGTGATCCAAGTCTTCCTGCATAAAAACAACACTCAACTGAATTGACAATTGATGTTTGTCAGCACGGTTTATCAAAGTTTTACTTTTTGTGCTTAGTTCATTAATGAAAAGGGTAAGTATTCTTGAATCAAGCTGATTCCAGAATCAAGGTCCTTAAATGTCATTTGAACTACACTAGTAATCTCCATTCTTGAAACTACTTGTCATCTGCCCTGTAGTGAATTCTTTCCTGTTCTTACAATCCCTCTTTTCTTCATCCAAATTAATAATTTTCTTTGTGGCACTGTATCAGGTTTTTTTTAAGCTCTAATAGAAAAGTTGTTGTTGCCTACTGGCTTAGACTGACAGTCCAATTTATCTCTGGCATTCTGTTGCACCTCGAAGTTGTGTTCAAAACTGCACATGTGATTGAGGTAATATGCTTACGGTTACCTAAGTCACTTCTTGCCCCTATAGGAGAAACATTTAATTTTTTTCAGTTTTGCTTTGGCAAATACATTTACCTTGGTATTGTATGTACTGCTGCAGATGTTTTGAAACATCTTGACTGTTGAAATGAATTTAATATTCTAATTTTTGTGAAGCCTGAGATTGAAATTTCTTTTTTCATGTGTTCCCCTTTTACAATACTGTCTTTGTTATGCTCAGCACTATCACTCTATATTGAAATTTGGGACAGTGCATCTCATTTGACTTGGGGATCATGCTGTTAAAAATATTACAGAGCCACATCTGAAGAACAGTTACCACTGAACTCCCTGCTTTCAGAATCATTTTGAACCGTATGACAAATCTTGCACACTTTAGCTTCATATATTCAGAGTCATGCGGAGTGTAGAGCTAGACTGCCGTGATTCACAGCTGAATTCCAGTTCAGAAAAAAACGACTTAGTTTTAATAACAAAAGCATTTTCTTCAAGAAACTATTTTTGGGAAGGATAATAAACCCTACAATGTAGACAAATTGAGTGTTACAGTTGATGAATAAATTACTTTTTAACAGGTTATGGTTGAACACTTCTTCATGGCTACAATAGGAGAAAGGAAAAAAAAAAAGAGATTGAGGACTTTGAAATAACTGATTGGTTTATGGGTTTGAATTTCTTCAGTATCACTCTGTTGGCAGAGTAGCATTCCAGGTGTTAATTGGTGCTTTAACACATTTGAAGTAGTCATTTAATTGTGTCGTTCTACACTGTTAATATCAGAGAGGTTTTGGAGAAATTCCAGCTGTTGCTCACTTTAGATAGTGTGCCTTAGCAGGGCTGCCAATCTTCCTCTTTAATGGGAATCCAGAAATGGCTCAGAAAAGGTGTTACTGCAGCCTCTTCAATTTTGTCAAATGTATTTTTGTTGTTGTGGTTTCTTTTATTTTTAGTGAAAAATACTCTCATACAAAGGTCATAACTATGTCATTTTGGGGTGTGGCATTTGTTAGAAGCACTAGAACAACTAGTCTGTCTTTTAAAAGTGTTATTTTTAAGCTGTTAAACTACACAGCCAGGTGATTTTAAGAACAAAATGTTTTCAAACAGTTTCTGATTCTGTAAAAGTGCAGGATAGGCTGTTAGAGAACTGTCTTAGTTTGTTTAGCTCAAACTTACATGAGAAAGAGGAAGAACAGTTCAAAGGATGGGGTGCAAAATGCCTGAAACCTCTTCTGATAGCTGTGGCAGGAAAGCTCTGCTGAATTTTACTGTGGTGACTGAAAACACAGCCTCAACCTGTCCGTGTCATGTTTTTGACACAGCTTTATTGCTTCTTGTAGTGTGGGCAGTAGAACAGGACATGAGTCCACACGGCAGTACTCTATAGTTCATATTGGGACGTTTTGTTGTAAGTCTGTAGTTTTTCACCAGTGGCTTACGCTCAGCTGCCCAAGGGTGAAACCTTACCATTAGTGCTGTGGGTGCAGCAAGGTTCATCGGTGCTTGGCTGCCCAAACCTTGCAGCCAGCTGCGGGGCTTTCCTGGCTGAGGGCAAACTGGACACTGACAGTAGGAGCAACAGAAAGATAAATAACAGTATTAAGATGTCATATGGGCATTTCAGAAGAACAGAAGGGAATTGCGGTCTTACTGGATTTTAGTTTCCATTTTTGAGGTGTTCTTTTAAATGCTGATGATAAGCATTCTCAAATTAGAGTAATTTTTAAGTGGGGAATTATAACAGAACTTGGTGTCATTTTACTACATGTTTTTATATATATTTTCGTACATACTTACATTTTAATACCTATGTATCTGTGAAAAATGAAATCTCAATGAAAGAAGGATTCAGATAAAAAATACTGCTTCTTAAAAGGAGAGCATTATATGCTTGAATAGGCTTGGACAGTGGTTTTTGAAAACTACCTTAGATAGTCTCACTGAATGAAAATCACCATGAAATTGGAAGTACGTTGCACTAAAACGTTCTTCTTTCCCATTTCTTAGTGATTTTTTTGATAACATGTAGCACAGTGGTAAATACACGTTGCACGTGAAGTTGCTGTGCCAGTGCAGTGTGCGCTCTTACCTTATTGAACCGGGGAGCAAGATTGCCGATTTTCTGGAAGTTTAAAACACTCCTACTCTTGAAGTGTGGAAGAGTGAGAAGATGTAGTCCTTACTGAAACGTGCCTGGAGAAGACAGACAGAAGTGATTTTTAAATATACTTTAGACAGGCTACTAGTTTGGTTTTTTTTTCCCCTTGATGGACTGCAAAAGTAACACCTGCCTCACCAGGATGTTTTATTTTGAAGTTACTAGCGCTCAGGACGTCCGCAAAGCGCGTCGTTCCGAGTCCATCCCGCCGTGACCTGGCAGTAATCATGGCGGACGCCGGGGCCGCTGCGGCGTCCGGGGAGGCGCCTGGCCCGGAGCTCGCCCCGGCTTCCTCTGGCGTGGAGGCGCTTTGTCGCTTCATTAGGGAGAAGTCAGAGACGTGTGAAAAGTAGGCCAGGGGTCGGGGGCGGCCTGCCCCGGCCCCGCCGAAATGGAAAGTGATGGACACCTCCCGGCTCAGCCGCTAATTTGCCTCCATGTTAAATGCCTCCGAAGCACTAATTAAAATGAAAAGTTCGTGGGTCTCGCTGACAGACAGATTGAGTTATTGATGGTGGAAGCGGCCACCAGCAGTAATTGCAGCCCATCCCTGAGCGAATGCCAGTTTTGCCATTCATGAGCAGCACCAGGCTGACAGGGGTCAGGGGGGTCAAGCCCACCGAAACAAGAGGCCGAGGAAAGGCAAAATCGCTCCTCTGTTCCTCTTTGTGTAACGTCGCTTTTGTTGCGATTAACTATTTAGGTGTTCGAGCTCCTTTTTAGTCCTTTGAGGCCCAATTATGCTTCCCTTGTGAATAGCTGTAGAAAGTTCGTTAAGCAGAACATGACCACAACTACTGCAGGCTGAAAAAGTAACTTATTCAATCTGGCTGTCTTAGCTGTGTGTTCATCCACTGGATGAAAAGAATTACGGTTTATTTTTGGAGCAAAGGACGTGTGCATATAGTAACATAATTTTTCAGGAGGGATTAATTTGCACAAAACTTGGAAATCCACAACAACATCAGGTTTTTGAATTGGAGTTAACAGAGATTAATAATAAATGGTCATTGGTGGTGCGAACTGAGCTAACTTTCTTTTCTCCAGAAAACACTCTGTAACGTAGTGGTCTACAGGAAGGAGGAGTGGAATATAGTTGATGCTAATGAGAAATTAATTTCTTCATTCAAATGTTAAATATGAGAGTGCCTTTAAAAAAAAAAAAAGACGTAGTACTAGGCTAGAAGACAAAAGTAACATTGTAAGTAAATCAGCTATCTAAACTAACTATTTTAATACAAATTTAGCTTTCATCCAGCAGAGAGGCTGGGGCTTTCTTGCAATAAAGCATCTCTGCAAGCATTTTTCAACTGGTGGCTCAACATGGTGTTGCCTTTTCCTCGCAATATTATGGGAATTCACCACTAAGTTTCATTTTTAAGAAAGATAATAAGTATAAATTTTAATTCCTGTAAGAAAATAGTTTTCAAACAGATTTACTTTTACCTGTTAATCTGTTGAATATTACCTATGATATCTGTATGTGAGTCTAAAATATATGGCTGTGACTAGTGAGTTAACGTATCTAATATTTTTGATAGGATATATAAAAACATGGCAGTGGGTTGTTACAAAAAATGTATATTTCAGAACACTGCTGTTCAGTTGGGCAGTAAACATGGCTAATATTTTTGATTATTAATCTTAATAAACATGCATTTTTAATTATTTTTGCAGCCTCATGGTTGTGATCTGTGTGATGAGAAATATTGAGGGCTTGAGGGTTTTTTCTTGTTTCAGAAAGGCAAGGAGTTTCTTAACACTTTGTTTTATTGTATCTTTCAGGAAACAAAGTTGGAAAAGTTACAAAGTCATCTTTGCAGCCAAGCAACGAATCTTGTATTAGGCTTCACTGGGCAGACTAAGCTTAACATTTGTCAAGCAGAAGGGCAAGTTGCCTTGCACAGGAAGGATTAAAACTGAACAATGACTCGACTGAGAGTTTATGAGCAATTGCTTGGAGCCTACCTGCTTATCATTCTCCATATTCAAGGTAAATATATACTAGTTGAAATATGTTTATATTTTTCATCTGTAACTGAGATGGGTGTATTCCAGTAGTTGGGGTAGGGGTTTTTTGGTTTGGTTTGTTCTTTTGCAGGCAGATGGCTTATCTGTCTGACATGCCACATAGACATTTCCCTAAAAAGAAGGACATGATAGTGGTCATGTGTTGTTGTAGTACAGATTATAGCACTGTATATTTTAGTAAATGCTTAAATAGAGACAACACCAGAAATGCATAGTACACTGTGGAGCAATTTATATGAGCAGCAGAATTGAGGGTTTAAGTTTCTGAATTTCAGTTTCCTATATGTGTGTGTCTTTGGTCCCTTTACATTTGACCCACTGAAGAAATTGCAGTATGCAACTCCCCATGCTTTCTGATGCTCCCAGCAGCCAAGACGTAGAGTGGCATAACTAGTCTAAATAAACTTGTTACACCTCCTTGATGGGCCAAGGTGAGGCTATGTGATGTTCACAATAGCCAGGTTTTCAGTTAGTGAAAATACTCGTTTGTACGTCTGTTGTTTTTCCAGCCACCCGTTACCAAAAACTTCTGGAAATCCAGTTATCATTAGGACTTTGACTCCTCTGTCAAAATGGGTTGAATGAAAAAGTATTGGGAAGTGATGAATGTGACTGTCTCATGCTCTATCAGGAGTTGAATCTTAAGTATAAAGATTACAACGAGTTTGTGGGAAAATCTATTTTATTATTATTTCCTTACTCTTTATTAGCAACTGTACCTGGCAGATCTGGTTCTGTAATTGCTTGTAGTTTAGAGAAGTGTCAGAATAGCAGAATGGTATCTGAGCTGTTAGTGGTATCACATTCTCATGTTTGGGACATGGACATACAGAGCATTACTGTTCATCAAGCTTGTACATCTGTAGTTGGTCAAGTGTAAGATTTCTTGTTCTCCCAGCTGTCGTACCTCACATGTTTGAGTTGCGTACACAGACCTTTCCACATGTTTTTCAGGGAAATAAAGACTAATTTGATACTGCCGTTTTAATACTTGACTATAAAAGGTTTTGTGTTCTCTTTTCATACTTACATCAATTACTGCTTAGTGTTGATTGCTTTGAGCTGTTTACTTTCAAGAATAACAATCCAATGAACCCATTAAAATGGGGAGAGGAGGAAGCCAGGTAAGTACCCAAATGACAGTCTTTATGTTCTGTTTCTAATGTGTACCTGCAGTATTAGATTAGAGGATTTAGCAGAGCTGTCTCTATTGGGACTATGCTTGATACATAGCTTTACAACTGATTTTAAGAGCATACTTGCATCAAATGTGTAATGGGCCTGCCCCTTGCAAGCCACTTTATCCTGCTTCTTCCCATGTAGTGGTATTTATCCCCTTGTAACCACGTGCCAAGGTGTATTCGGGAACGGCTGCAGCTTCTAACCTGGGTAGGGGGAAGCACTTAGAGCACAAGACTGTACCCTTAAACATAAACCAAACATTTATCAAGCAGTAAATATAAATGACACTGAAGATATTTATCTGGAATTGACTGTGGATGAGCTGTCGGCTACACTAGGACTGGAATTAAATGAATAGTGCCTCCGTGCAAGGAGGATCATCTTTAAGCTCTTTCAAGTACCATTTCACACACACATTCACAGTGAAGCTTTTCTGGAACAGAAGTCCTCTCTCTGGATCTGTGAAGAATTGCAGTTTGTTAAAGATATTTAAAACTGCCATTCTTCCTTTTGAGTTTCCTGTGGGGTTCAGTCCAGGAGGCTACCTCAAGTACAGTGAAGTCTTCTGTATCGTTTAGTACAGCCTACAGAATTGTAAACGCTTTGCTTCCAAAACTGGACAAGGATTCCTGTATAAATGCCAAGTGATTTGAGTGCTTTCATCTTTTTAGCCTGCAGGGGCTCAGAATAGTGTCTCCTAACTTCTGGATATGTGCTTTAAGTGCTGATGTTCGGCTTAATTCACGCTGTGTGTGTGTATGTGTAAGCACGCACACGTGTATTTCAGGAGTGGGGAAGAGCATGGGTCTTGGTTTGAAGCTTTGCCGCAGCAAAGACTTCAAGGTTGGAAGCAACAAAATTAACATAAATCCAGGATTCTTGCATCTTCATTACATTAGTTAAGTTAAGTTGAGAGAGAGAAGTTCTCAAGACCAGTCCCTCTTCCTGTTGTGGACATATGATTTTTAATGGGAAAGAAACAGCTCAATCTATTTCAACAGAAATAGCCTAGTTTCAGTATAGTTGAAATTTGTAGTACAAATTTACAAATATTTCCAGGTAGCGCTACGGTGATGAGATTGGTAACAGGCACAAATCACAATAAAGGAAAGTTTGGTGAGAAATTAGGAAAGAAATTTTCACTGTGAATGTCATTAGGCATTGGAACAGGCTGCCTGGAGAGGCTGTGCAATATCCATTCTTAGAGAGAGTCAAAACTTGACCAGAATGACTTTGAACAACCTGGTCTAACTTAGAAGTTGGTCCTGCCTTGGCTGGGTGGTGGTACCAGATGACTTTTAGAGGTCTCTCCACTCTAAAATACTCTCAGAGATAGCAATTTGCAGTTTTGCTGCTTCTTGAAGAAAATACCAGCCTCTTCCCTTGAAGAGGCTGGGAATGATATGGTTTATACTTTTTACTGAAATCATGGTTACCCCTTTGCGTTAGTCAATATTCAGCATTTTACTTAAAGGCAATAGCAACTAAAGGAACTGTTTTTTTTCCTCTTTAGATACAAATAGAAGAAATAATACAAATATGCTGGTCTTAGTGACTTAAAATCAAATTGCATTAACTCCTTCCATGATAGCATTTATTAATAATGCCTCAATGAATAACTTCTAAATTAAGTTTAAAGACCCTGTTGATATTTTTTAAGCTTCTGAAGAAGAAATTGCCTTGTCTGAGGAATATTTCTGACTTCTGAATCAATACTGACGGAGTTCTGAAAGCCATGAGAAAGTTGAGCTTGCTGAAACGTTGTTGATTCTTTGATGCAAGTTGCCTAAGGGCTTATATTCAAACATATGAAATAAGTTTGGTTTCTAGAGGTGGTGAGTAGAAAAACAGTCAAGTCTCTCTGCTTGTCCCTAGATTCATGGAGGAGTTGGAGGGGACACACAACAAAGTTGATAGTCATCAAGTATTTGAAATCTTTATAGGAAAGAGGAAATCTAAAGTGAAAAGTCTAAAAAGTGGAAATTGAAAGTAAAAAGAGTAGTTCCAACACGGAAAATACATGCAGGATGTTACAAAAATGGATCATAAACGAACCAGTGGAGGTGAAGAAGACGTGGGGAACTGAAGAGAATTTATGTGATTTATAGGAAGAGAAGGGAAAAGCAGAGGAAGTAGTTTCTACTACTACTACACTACCCAGTGTGTGTGCTTTCAGTGACTGGCACCCGGTTTGCTCCCTCACTTGTTTTGGAGGCTTCTTATAAATGGTAGGAATTTTGGGGCTAATCAGGACCTGGGAGAATGATAATAGCAAGTGGATCTGTATACATGCATATATATGTGCACACCATATTCCTTAAAAGGTAACTTTAAAAAGCAAGTGGCAGCATGTGTTGTTTAATATGAAAATATTCTTACAACACCAGCAGAAAACAGGCAATTCCATGAAATTATCGGTGGGTAGCTGCTGTTTCTCAGGTCAGTATTACAGAGCAGGGGGACACAGTGGTTACCCTTTGGATTGTGTCATCTTTATAGCTTATGGAACTTTTTCACTTACGTGGAGAAATGATCAAAAATAAGCCTGGGTAGTAGATGCCTAGATTTTAGTAGCAACCTTTTCAAGAAAAACATTTTTTAATTACCTTTCTCACTGTGGAAGGCCTTTGCAATTTCTTTAGACCTGTGACTTGCTCTGCATCTTCATCCACCTACTTTTGCTCATCTAAGGCGAGAGTTTGTCAGCTTTGGTTGCATTTGAGGACTGTGATAAATATGCTTTTGTCTTCCCACTAGCACAGGTTTTTAGTTCAGAGAGCCAATTTTACTTCCAAGTAGAGTACTTTGTTTTTTATAATGCATTGATGAGCATAACTAATCAATATATGTAATAGAGTAGTTAAAGAACTTAATGTAAACTTAAACACATTCTCCTAAATTTTGTACTTCATTTCTGTCAGTTTAGTATATGATGTAATGTTAGATATGTGGTTCATCACACCTTTGTGTTCTTCAGAGACACTTGCAGACCAGTATTTTAATCATTCTGAATTAATTCACTTAAAATTTATTAATAGCATTCAATATGTATGAAGAAAGATTTATTAAAAGTTAAATTTAAAAATAATTAGTGTTAATATTAAATATTAAAATTGATTCATTAAAGTTTACATTGTCTGTTAGTGAACTGAAAAAAATCTGTTGAGATTTTATTTCAGTGTAATACTTACTTTTATTCAAAGATGTCATATAGAAAAGGGTATTACTTTTTTTTACTTTTATGTACTTTCTGAATTTCATGCGGAATAGTTACTGAATTTAAACATATAAGCTAATCTGAAATAAAGAAAATATTCTAAAATCTGCAAAAGGAACGTAGAGTTTTCAGAAGCTAATCTGTTGCTTAAGGATAGTGTAGTTCTGTTCACCAGTGATTTCCCTGATTAATGGCTGCATTTGTCTTTAAAACATGGGCAGCAAACATGTATTGTTAAATATTTGTATGATTAAAGTTATTTTAATGGATTATAAAAAGGTTATATATTTATTATAATTTTACATTTGGGTTTAAGTAACTTTATTCTTTAAAAGTCCATTTAATTTATTTAGAATGGAGTGTACTTTTTTTAAAAAAGTAAAATACACGTAAAATTTTCTTGTCTATGGCTTTTGTATTGAATACGCAAGAACAGAGAGTAGTCTTCAGAAGTGACTTTTTTGGGAAAGGGAAGCGGGAGCAGAGGCTGGGGATTGCTGGTTGGGAAGGTAGGGCAGGAGCTGCCTGTCTGTGGTGAGCACTGGTGTAGCTCCTGGGAAAGC